TCAGAGTTTCTCTCAAATGGTACCCTGTAGAGCTGTTTCATGCTCATCTCATGCTTCTTCAATACCCTGTCTATTGTTGATATGCTGATAGTGTTGATGATACAAAATACTTGACTGCAAGATTAACAGTGCATCAATCTTCACAAGAAGCTTACACCCTTTAGTGGCGCTAAGCTATGAAGACCAATGCAGACAAGTAGGAAAAAAAAAACACAAAAAAAAACAACTGAAGGGGTGCTGTACTAAGACATAAGAGATTGAGTTTTATTAAAATGTTTATTTTTGCATTCTTTGTTACACATTTTGCTTTATTGTACAATCTTTATTGTTTCTATGCAAAATTTCTCAATTAATTTGATGGCCTAAACTGTACCTGTAATTAACTTAACCTTTAATTACAGTAAAAGTAACTTTAACTTCATATTTCTTTGAGGTGTAGGGCAGATATTCATTAATTCAAGCTTTATTTTAACTTGAAATTACACTGAGGGACACCTCTTATTTCCAGTATCGTCAAGAAATATCAGGGCACTGTTCAAGCAATAGGTGACCCCACCCCCTATTTTGAATACATTGATGTATTTTTCAGAATTCAAGATCAAAACTTGAATTTTCAGTTTCAAATTAAATTTTTTGAAGTACAAAACATTTGGCCCCATTATAGCTCCATTCCTTCCCCACTTAATTGGCACAACTGTTGGCTGTTAGTGCAAATATTTGCTAGTTGCATCAACTCCAAAAAAACTCCTGCAGCCGTATGGGAGTAACACAAACTGAAAATTCACTTTGTATTTGGTGTGAACACAACATTACACTTAAACTGACAACTCAGTGCTTACACTCAAACACTTCAAACCCTTTAAGTGCTTCAAACAACACGTAATCGCTTTAAAGATTCAGTGTGCCAGATTTAGGGGGATTTAGTGGCGTCCAGTGGTGAAGATTGCAGAATAAAACCTGAAACTTCTCCTGGTTAGAATTCCTTCAGTGGTCATTGTTCAGGAGGTTTTTACCAGGATCTGAATTATCCACAGCGGTCTCTTCATCTTAAACAAATCAGGTGATTTAAATCAGTAAAACAGTTTCATGACAATCTGTTTTTCTCAAGCTTTTATGGTGGAGGGGCTTCTACCTATAGTCGGTGATGCAAAAACACAAATGTCCCTGTCTAGAGCCAGTGTTTGGTTAGTCCATTGTGGGCTACTGTAGAAACGTGGTGGTGCAACATGGCAGTCTCTGCAGACAAGGACCTGTTCCCTATGCAGATGTAAACAGCTCATTCCATGGTAACAAAAACACAATGATTCTTATTTTCAGGTGATTATACACTAAAGAAAATAGACTTAATTTCTGCCAGTATATCCTCCTAAATACACACGGGAGCTTTAAGTCTTCAGTGTACTGTAACTCTTGTCCATCTCACAAGTAAACAATTCACATTTTATTGAGTTTAACAGTGTTTAAAAAGATCTAAAAAAAAATCAGCACGTTAAAACATTTTAATTTTCTTGAACTCAAAGATTTCAATTGCAAGTGCAGGTATGACATTTTTAAGACATGCTGTACAACAGGACTAACAGCGGAAATTCCGAAGCTTTAGTAAAATATGATGATGCCCTGCTACTGAGTGAAAATATTTCACTAATGGAAACATGGTTTTAAAAATACCTAAAGGTTACTGGGAGATTTAATTTGAAAAGAATGTACTCCTCAACTCTGTGCTAGAACTTACAGATGGAGAACATAAGTCAAACACAAGTCAGATTTTCTGAATCAGAATATTGTCTGTAAATTAAAACAACAATTTCTAACACATGTCCTGCATTATTAATTACCAGAGTTACAGCCTTTCCCCCCTGAGGATACCCAGACTTGGTTTTGTATCATTTCCTGAAATTTCGGGTAAGGAGGAACTTGCTCCTAAAGTGGCAGTAGATGGAGGAAGCAAAAGCAGAACAATAGACTACAGATAAATGTTGTGTGTTTCAGTTCCTGAAGAGGAAAATGAGTTCTGTGAGGCTCCACAGACGCTCTCTGTTGGGACTGTGGTCCAGTGATATTCTCAGCATCCAGTCAGCAGGTTGTTGGTCTCGATGGGAGCTTCCCCTGTCTCCAGAGCTCTCCATACGTTCTGCCAGAAGACTCCTGTGTGTTGGCTGGCCTGCGGCCAGCTCAGGTAGGTGTGCCTCTTCACCAGCTTCCTCATGCGGTGGTATGGAGACAGCTGATAGGCTGGGATCTCCTCCAGGAACAGCAGGATCAACACGTCCTTCTGCTCGTCAAACAGACGGAAGCTGCAACAACATGCACAGGACAGACGGTGAGGACAAATCCGAGGACTGAACCAGTTTATGAGGCTGCGAGATCAACACATTCTTAATCAAACCTCGTCAAATATCAACGTTTGGTCATGGACCTTCCACGTCCAGATACGACGTGAAAGATACCCTGGGTGTATTGGATGTTGATGTTCTAGGGTGCCGTGTCAATTTATGCCTGTTGCTTGCATTGTTTTCTTTCAAACTACACTTCGGTTTTCACAGGAAATGTACATTTTACATACATTCTCCTTCAAAATAAACTCACTACGCTGGTACAACACCGCAAATTGACCTTTTTTTTCTCTCCAACTAATGCACATGGTTGGGTTTAGAAAAAAGAACAAGGTTTGGCTTTAGAATCTTACAGGACATGAACACCGCTCTCCTGGGTGATAGTCAGTGTTTGTTGGACCCATCAACCACCCCTCCCGCCCGCCCAACACAGACTTTCGCTGCCTTATCTTTCTTTCTTTCGTTCATATCTTTCATAAACTATAATGGCGACCAGCCGCGTATCATGCTGACGTCAAAGGACAGTTTTTTTTTCATTAGTGTCTGACACCCCATGTTACTGCCGAGCACCGGATTTCGATGACTTTATAGTGAGTGGGTTGGTGAGATAAGAGCAGCAGGTGCTGATAGATTTGCGTGTCCCCACCTGGCCATCTGGATCTCTCTTGAGCACCATTCGCTCTGCAGGTAGCGCCGGGTGATCACACAGATGGTCTTCCTGCTGCCGTATATGGCGTCTGTTATGTTGTCTATGATGGGTTTACCTGTGGAGACATTTCAGACAAACTGCAGGAAATCCACATGGAAGAAGAACAACATGGTCACAGTGATGTCACTCACAGGCTTCTGATGAAAAGCCTGAAGTTTGGCACCATTTTGGTAGTTGTTAGGACCTAACTGACAAGTGATATTGAAGGAGGACATTCAGGAAGAGACACAGGTTTTTGCCTTCAGATGTGTTCCGACATCACATTGTACACTAGGCTGTTTGAAGTATACCAAACATTTTAGTAGGAGATTTCTGGGGTGCTTGAGGCCCTCTGGAATTAACTCTTCCTAATTGTACGTTCACACCAAATGCTGCCAGAGCTGCAAAATAGCTGAATTCACTCTAGCAACGCCGCTGGTTAAATATGTGTGGCAGCGAAAGCAGCTCAAGTCACTCATGACATCAAATTCTGAACTTTTGATTATGCTTCTTTATTTATTTTATAAAGCAGGTTACTGGCTGGAGCACAGAAATGTGACTTCGTGCATTTGCCTGAGTACAGAAACTTTCATGTTTGGACAATGAAAAGAGAATTAAAAGTCTAAATAGGTCTGACATTAAACATTAAACACGCACAGCCTGTGTCGCGTTCAGGCGTTGTCACGTAAATAACAAATTCCAGCATTTCAATAGGCCGTAGCACAACACAGCAGCATGTCAAGTGGGCCGAACCTGAACCAAATATGAGCAAAATTTTTTGATTTGTTATCCCCCCCCCAAAGCTGTAAACCTAGGGGAAACACTGTCAGTGGATTGGGTTCAAGTGCTTACAGTGCGATTAGTTAAACTGGTGGTAAGGAGAGTAAATGAATTGCATTCCCCGCCAATAACAAGTGTTCCAGAGCACAAAGAAATTGTATACGTGCCATTGTCCACACTTGTGTATCGATTCAACATGGAAGAAGACACTCTTGTAATTTGTGCTGCTGTGTGGTACCTGCGTGGATGTAGCCACTGTCGGGTCTGGGTTCACGATATTCTCCAGGGCCAGCACGGGGAATATCATCGGCTGGTGTGGGAGCTGCGGTTGGATGGGGAAAGGTTCCAGCGCTACTTCAGGTTGAACATACAGTACAGGCCAAAAGTTTGGACACACCTTCTCATTCAATGCGTTTTCTTTATTTTCATGACTATTTACATTGTAGATTCTCACTGAAGGCATCAAAACTATGAATGAACACATGTGGAGTTATGTACTTAACAAAAAAAGGTGAAATAACTGAAAACATGTTTTATATTCTAGTTTCTTCAAAATAGCCACCCTTTGCTCTGATTACTGCTTTGCACACTCTTGGCATTCTCTCCATGAGCTTCAAGAGGTAGTCACCTGAAATGGTTTCCACTTCACAGGTGTGCCTTATCAGGGTTAATTAGTGGAATTTCTTGCTTTATCAATGGGGTTGGGACCATCAGTTGTGTTGTGCAGAAGTCAGGTTAATACACAGCCGACAGCCCTATTGGACAACTGTTAAAATTCATATTATGGCAAGAACCAATCAGCTAACTAAAGAAAAACGAGTGGCCATCATTACTTTAAGAAATGAAGGTCAGTCAGTCCGGAAAATTGCAAAAACTTTAAATGTGTCCCCAAGTGGAGTCGCAAAAACCATCAAGCGCTACAACGAAACTGGCACACATGAGGACCGACCCAGGAAAGGAAGACCAAGAGTCACCTCTGCTTCTGAGGATAAGTTCATCCGAGTCACCAGCCTCAGAAATCGCAAGTTAACAGCAGCTCAGATCAGAGACCAGATGAATGCCACACAGAGTTCTAGCAGCAGACCCATCTCTAGAACAACTGTTAAGAGGAGACTGCGCCAATCAGGCCTTCATGGTCAAATAGCTGCTAGGAAACCACTGCTAAGGAGAGGCAACAAGCAGAAGAGATTTGTTTGGGCCAAGAAACACAAGGAATGGACATTAGACCAGTGGAAATCTGTGCTTTGGTCTGATGAGTCCAAATTTGAGATCTTTGGTTCCAACCGCCGTGTCTTTGTGAGACGCAGAAAAGGTGAACGGATGGATTCCACATGCCTGGTTCCCACTGTGAAGCATGGAGGAGGAGGTGTGATGGTGTGGGGGTGTTTTGCTGGTGACACTGTTGGGGATTTATTCAAAATTGAAGGCACACTGAACCAGCATGGCTACCACAGCATCCTGCAGCGACATGCCATCCCATCCGGTTTGCGTTTAGTTGGACGATCATTTATTTTTCAACAGGACAATGACCCCAAACACACCTCCAGGCTGTGTAAGGGCTATTTGACCAAGAAGGAGAGTGATGGAGTGCTGCGGCAGATGACCTGGCCTCCACAGTCACCGGACCTGAACCCAATCGAGATGGTTTGGGGTGAGCTGGACCGCAGAGTGAAGGCAAAGGGGCCAACAAGTGCTAAACACCTCTGGGAACTCCTTCAAGACTGTTGGAAAACCATTTCAGGTGACTACCTCTTGAAGCTCATGGAGAGAATGCCAAGAGTGTGCAAAGCAGTAATCAGAGCAAAGGGTGGCTATTTTGAAGAAACTAGAATATAAAACATGTTTTCAGTTATTTCACCTTTTTTTGTTAAGTACATAACTCCACATGTGTTCATTCATAGTTTTGATGCCTTCAGTGAGAATCTACAATGTAAATAGTCATGAAAATAAAGAAAACGCATTGAATGAGAAGGTGTGTCCAAACTTTTGGCCTGTACTGTAGATCAGTTTGACAGCTTGCTGCTTGTTCTGAAGTAGGAACAAATGTGTGGTAGGAACTATAAGTTTCCAAGGATGTTCCCTGGGTTCCACACAAGCGATGGACATCTACATTCCGATTGGTTGCTGGTCATTTGCAGCTCAAACACGTCATAGCTAATTTGCATAAAGTTAACCAGTTTTCAACTTTCATTTGTAGCGCAATTCACCAAATAATAATTTGGCTCATTGCTTTTGCAGCTCAAAACGCCTCTAGTCGTTACATGTCCATTGAAAATGAATAAGACCTGTCACCTTTGCAGCACTGGCAGCTTTTGGTGTGAACGTACAGTAAGTCCTGCCTCTTATCACTCTGTGCACCAATAACAGTGAGTAAACTTCGGCAGAACCTCTGTCAGCTTTCCCCTATCCTGTTATACTTAGATATGTTTTGTACTAGGCTTGCCTATGTTGACAAAAAGTACAGTCTTGTAATATGGTTAAAAGATGTGGCTGTCACAATCTTTATGGAGAAATGACATTGTACATAGTCATATCTTAAGTTACCAAAATGCTAGCTAATGTATAACTACATCATGAGGAGTTAGCCTACTGTCAGATCACCAACATCAGGTTTGCTTTGTCCATATTTCCGTGGTAATGTTAAAGAGATTTGGAAAAGGACGGATAGTTTGGTTGCTGAATTTTTCATGAAGCTATGAGTAATAATTTGCCAAATAAGATTACAGCTAATGTTCCTTTGTTTATATGTCTGCTAGGCTTTGTGCTGCCTCAAAGTAACTAACATAACATTCTACAGTAAAGAGGAACTAATGTCAGCACCGTAGACTGTATAAAAATGATGGACGACATGACAGCTCCCCCAAAGTGAAGGCAAAACATCTCAATCACCCCCTGGTGGCTGGCTGCAGTATGGGTCACAAACCCCATCCCCTCCATGTTAGTAAATGGAACATGAGCCACTCTAAAAAAATCAAAGTATACATCAAATAAATTTTTCCCAGAGATGGTTTCTGTTATTTTAGGTTGTTCTTATCCAGCTAATGTTTGTTCAGGTGTTTGTTTTTCTGATAAGTTTGGTTTTGATTCGTTGTTTGATGGTAAAAAAGGGGGTTTTGACCAATAATTGACAGCTGTGTGAGTCAGTCGGTGTGCTCACAATCAATGGCTCTACTTGCGATTGGGTCAAACAGGTGTGTGGGCGGGAACTCAACACCATGGACACCACTACTGCACAGACTACACTCCAAATGATGTCACCAGCACAAGATGGCAGCAAACATATCTGAGATATTCTGGCTTCAGTTTCGTATAGTGGGAGGAAGTGAAGACGTGTTGTCCATCTTTATATAGTTGATGGTCAGTACCATGGTTTGTGTTCAGTGAGAAATACAGTACATAGAGTGCTTTACTGACCCTGGATGGAGAAAAGGGGACAGTAAAGTAGTGCAGGAGAAATGTTGAATACTCCTCTAGTCATCCTTGTTCTCTTCTACTGTTTTTTGGGGGGGTGCTTTCAGACCTAGAGTTGTCTTGCTTTGGTTCGAATCAGGGACTAATTTTGTTACAAAGTTGCATAATTGCCTAGAATTGGTTCAAATCAAATGGCTGTGCAAGAAAGCTGCTCTTGATAGGTCAGAATTTCCATGCGGGAAAAATCCAGGAAGTAAACAAAATGTTGTAGAAGACTACACTTAAATGCAACACAGGGCATTGGTGGTTTAGTGGTAGGGCAGGCACACTATGTACAAGGCTATTGCTGCAGCAGCCCGGGTTCGACTCCAACCTGTGACTCTTAGTAGAAATAAATGTTTTGATGCATTGGATGTGCGGAATGTTCATATTAAAGCAGTACAGGAGGAGGCACACAATAATCCTCCCGCACTGTAACATGCTCATGTTTAACCCAAACAATGCGTAATGCGACTGCAGTTGGTTCGGATCGAGGTTGGAACGTGTTCTCACCACAAATGAACCACACCAGAGTACGTTTTTAACCAGACCGAGACCTTCTTGAAGAGGTGGTCTTGGTCCGTCTTGGTCTTGGTGTGCACACGACTATGATTGCTGTGTTCACAGCAGCCCAAACAAACTGCACTTAGGGGGCAAACCAACTTGAATTCGATTGAACAGAACCAAACAGGACAGGTGTGAAAGCACCCCGAGAATGGAAGCCTCAATTTGTGTAATTTTGCTTTGTTCATGACTGTAATATCATAAATATATCCTTTCATCACACACACTGGAGTCCTTGCTGTCTGCTTTTTGCAGCTATATTGCCTGATGCCCAGAAACTGT